CTCCGGGTAAGGAAAGGAAAAACAGACCAAGGCTCTGATGAGATGAACGGTTCTGATACGAGATGACTGCGTGGAAACATCTGAAAGGTCTATAAAATCAGGAGTATTTGGAGAGGTTCATCAGGGAATATTTATAACTATTTTTCATACTGGAAAAATTAAAGAACCTCAGAGAAATCCCTGGGCAGGAGGTTTAAAACAAACACTCTGAAGTATGTTCCTGTGAGACCCAGTTAAAAGATAAACTCCTTTCCAGATGATTTGGTGAAGGCCCAAAATATAATGTGTTGAAAAGCGGATTATGAAGTCAATGAAAATGGGCTAGTAGACTCAGTGGCCCAGATGACCCTCTGGCTCAGGAAATCCTGAAACTGCTGATTGCCAGAAACTGGCCTGGGACCAGCAGACAGCTGGTCACGAATCGGCTGAAGTTAATTACAGGAGAGATATATAACAGATGACAGCATTGCTGGTGAATCTTATTTTAACTGTGAGTTTGGAAAAGAGCAGTTGTTCTGCCTTAATCAATTTGCACTGTTAAGAAAACCCAACCTTGAGATTTTTGCCTTTTTTTTTAAAGACATGTCTTGAAGTACAATTTGTCCCAGCTTTAATTTAAACATATATAAGGATGGAGAAGGGTATAAGCAGGATTTTACAAGCAACCAATAGTTTTATCTATATTAGAAATGTCTGGGGCTAGATATTTACTCTTATTGCTCAAGTATTCACAACTAAAAAAAGCAAAAAATAGCTATTTATACCTGTTTGTATGAGGAATTGAATTCAGTCTGTAGCAGCAGTAGCCCTGAGCTTCAGATGTCAACCTGTAATTGCATTTTGACTCCCAATTTCTTTAGACACTAAGTAGTTAATGGTGCTTTTTTTGCTGGAGAGCTGAGAGACCACTAATACATTCAGCTTCTTATTTGCCCTAAAGGTGCCACAGTTCAATAGGATCAGGATCCTGTCCACTTAAGCCCTAACTGCTTCGCAGGCAGGAACACAGAACACCCGAATTCTTGGAGCGCAGGGAGGGAAGTGCTCCAGGAAGATGGGTTTTGTCTGACACCAGCCAAGTTTTCCTGCACTGTTCTGCAAGTGTTTGCTCTACTGCAAATTCCAATTTAAGGAAACCTTGCAGCTTAGATTTTCAGTGGGAATGAATTATTTTCCTTCTTGCACCAGGGCAGTTCTTTGGATGCAGTGGCTGATGCTGTATGAGTTTTTTTATTATTACATTTTAACAAACTTTATAGCCCATTTTGTTTGTTTTCAAATAACTTTATTTTCCTTCTTTCCGATCATCAATTACTCGGTTTGTTTTTTCTTTCCATAAGATGGAGGAGCCAGGAGACTGATCCTGCTCAATGCTGTATAATTTAGTATTATGTATACCAGCTTTATGAGGTGGGAGTCAGATAAAACATAGTATTTGAACACTAACCATTTATTAGCTCTAAGGAACAGATTTATGACTTGACAACCAGACAATAACTCCAGGTTCTGATCAGCCAAAGAGGCCTACTTTGAGTTCAAAACACAGAGTAACATACTCTTTCACAAATAATTTTGTTTACTGATGTGACTAGATTTTAATAATAAACTTGATATATATGTAAATTTATTTTAATCTAATTTCATCAACAGAGCCCTCCTAAAATTGAGACTTTGTAGATTGTTCTGTGTCTGATTTATAGATTTCTGCATCCTATTCCCAGATTGATTTCAAGGCTATAATTCTATCAGGGTTTTCTCCTGATGTCAGAAACACTACCTCTGCAGATAGTGTTTTATAACTAGCATCACAATTGAAACTGAATTACTGCCCTGCTGTCCTATGCTGCAATATGTCCTGTTGTTTATAATCACCCTCTCTACCTCATATACCTACTACTTTAGTTGCAAGGAAAATATCAGCTCCAAAATCAATCAGGTAGCATGATGTCCTATTTTTGTCCCTCACTTCAACCCCTATATGAAATAGTAAGGGCCAAATTCTTAATGCAAATGTGAATGTGCAGAACCCTTTAAATGTGCTCAGGGAAGCTGAGCAAATGGATGAGTGCAAATTTTTTTAAAACAGGATTTTATAACCAGCTGTTCCTCCTTGCTTGCTAAGGTCTCAGTTCTGTAAAGGAACATGCTGCAGACAAATGAGTATTTGCACTGATTGCGTGCATTCACGTATGTGTTTAGGGACCCAGGACCTACTTTAAAAATGCATACGAAGAATAGTCCAAAAGAAGTGATATTTAAATGAATCTAGCATAAGACGCAGAATATTTCTCCCTTTTCATGCAATGGATTTCTGTTTAAGATGTATTTTGTATTATTTTTAATAAATAAAACCACTTCTGTGTTCACATCCTTCCTTCCCAAGCCTTGATGACTGCAAGTTCCCCTGCTCCTTTTATCTCTCCCCAGCACAGTCTGGCCCTCTCAGTCCTTTCCACATGGGGGATGTGGGATGGGAAGAAGATTGAAGGCAGACACAAGGAAGACACAGGTAGAGTAACTTTGCCAGTTTAAACATATATGTGGTTATTACACCTTTCCCAGTACTGGTTCTTAGGTAAAGACAAGCCTCTAGAAAGCATAAAGGTTACAGGTTCCCAGTGTGTCCCTTTGGAGCAGCTGCTGTGTCAGCCAACAGCATGGACTGAACCAGGAGCTGCTGGGGAGGAAGGGAAAAAGCCTCTCCGCTCTGACGAGCCAAAATAGCATTTCAAACCCCCAGCACTCCTGGACCAGCTGAGAAAAATAATCCCATTTATTTACCTGGCAGCCACAACAGTTCTCTTCTGATGCTCATTTCTCTTATATTACATTTCTGAACACTTCACTATAGCTCAAATAAAATATAATTCGTATGCTGTTTTTAATTATTTCACAAAACCCAAAAGTCTCATAATGAGCTCCTCGCAATACTAATAAATTCCATGATGCTATGCCAATCCTGAACTAAGAAGATGCAGATCCCCTCCTGCAGTAAATAAAATACACCTTCTGATATAATCCAACCTTTAATCCACTTCTTATAGTTTGCCTTTAGAGGCAGCTCAAACAAATAACCAGAAAAACAAACCTTTAATCTTTCTCATAGTTTGGCCATCTGGAGGCCAATGTTCTACTTCCTAGTCCTTGGGAATGAGACCCCTTTTCTAGCCTGGGAAGGACCATCTAGACGATGTTAGTAAAGCTCTGTATCTTGCCACAGTCTCGTTTGTCACATAATTAATGTCATAATTGCTAAATGTCTCTCTCACCTGTTTGGAATAATTCCTGCTCTTTGCAGCTGTTCTCCCTGCTCTACGTCCCTTGGGAAACCGCAGAGCACCCAACCGTTGGTCACGCAGTCCAGCGTGTTCAGCCGCTTGGCCACGATCTTTACAACGAGGTTGTCTGGGACTGTAAAGGATTAAAAAGACGACACTTATTTTGTTTGCAGGACCTGGAATTAAACAAGAAACACAGTACTCTTTCTGGCCAGCCTGCTACATGGAGGAAAATACAAAGAGATATTTCTCTTTATGTCTGATACACCTTTAGAGATAAGAATTAATGTTGACTTTGTTGACTGCAGTATCATGGAAAGCTCATCAGAAGTCATAGGACGAGAGCAAAGTGGTGGTAAAAATTGATGCCTACGTAATTTCACAATGTACTTTTTCTCTCAGCAACACTAGCCTGATATAACAATGAACTGCATGACACAATCTTATAAAAATGCAAAAATAATGACTGGAGTTGTATAAAAGCAACCCTAAAAAAGAAGGAAAAAAGACTGCATAGCAAACTGTATTTAACTTAGGAGAGGATGTTGGTTCTGCTGCAGCAAGCTAAATGGGATTTCAAATCAGAGATGGGCCTCTCTGATTTGCCCAAACCTTGAAGCTCTTACAACTGAAAATAAATTTTGAAAATTTACTGTAATTACTGCACTGATGACTCCCTAATTTTAGACATAAAAGTTCTATTTCCTTTATTACTATTTATCTTTAGTGAATAAAGTAACAGCAACACTGATAGGGTTTAGAATTACCATGCAGTTTTTGCACTTTACTTGATGGAACACCCTGGTAAAGAGGTATCCAGCATGTTTTCACTATAGTTTTCATAAAGTAAAATATTTCAATCAAGATGCTTAACTATATTTTTTTCTTTTCCTCTTTTTTTTCCTCCCCCCAACAGAAGAATTAAATGTTCAGGTTCAACAAGGGTGTCTATTAATTTTTCAAAGGACCCTTGCAGTGCTCTGTGTTTTGTATCAAATAACCACAAAAAAGTCAGCAAAAACAAGCAGCCAAAACAATTTTCAAGCAGCAGTGACAGTCCCTTCTCTTTATTTGTACAGTATGTCTAATACACCGTTGCCTCTACTGGAAACAAGCAATAAAATTCACTACATAAATCCACATCATGCAGCGTTGATGTTTTGATACTCATCCTGCCATTGCATCTGCATACAGAAATACAACAAGAATTCTTTGCAGAGAAGTGTATGCGACAGATTCCTAACAATGCAATTTGCTTTAGGAATAGCTGACAGGTATGTGCCTGTATTTTAGTAGAGTATATTACTGTCAGCACACAGTTAAAGCCTGGGATAGAAGTAGGTTTTAAACAGCTATAATAGAATCCTTAGAATCCTTTGCTTCCTGAAATTTTACATTTCCTAAAAACTTGTACTTCTATCACAACATTCATTACTTCTCCTTTAAATAATCACTGAGTTCACAGAATTGCACTCAGGATTCAGTGTACCAGCAAAAAGGGAGGAAAACCACAGGGAATTAATTAGAAAACAGATTAGTGTATTAATTGAGGATATCCACTTCATATTATATAAAAGAAAAAAAAATAAAAGGTTAGGCAGACTACTGTCTCCAGCTGCTAAAATAAAAGGAGAATGGAATACAATCAGTACCAGTTACTTGACAGTGCAAAATGACAGTGCAAAACTAGGTATTCCTTTTAAAATGAGATTCATAAAATTAACTACACAATATTGGAGCAGAAAGTAAAAATGTTATTAGGCAGATGATACCTATCTATCTAAGACCCTGGCTCCTGGCAGGCATACAGGGGAGAGCAGGATGATATCAGTGCTCTTTGCAAGTAAATTCTTCTCTCTACTCTCCAAGTTACAGGAACTGATATAAAACCAAGAAGTTCCAGGGAAAAAAATTAAAAAAAAAGGAAAAACAATATCTAACTTTCTCCTTCCCTAAAATGTATTACATATAACAGTTGATGGAATTTTCCTAGTAATTCTGAATTTCTGTCTGCAGTAAACTTCCAGTCTCAATGCATATCATTTTAACACGATTCCTACTGGAATCATTAACATGGATTTACTAAGAAGCCCAACTGATGTGATTTTAGAAGTATTTTCAGAATGTGTAAACCCAACTTGGCAAGCGAGTTGAATGAGACACACAAACCCTTGACCAGAACCCTATTAAAGTAGGTTGCTGCTGCCAGGAGGCAATTCTCACTCCTGCAAGATGAGCAGGGAATCAGGGCAGAGGCTGAAAACCCCAGGAATGGGGGATGATGTTGGGTACACCCATACGTGGGATGCTCTTGTTGGCCCTCCAGCAGCTCTTAGAAGTCTCTCCAGTTTCGGGTCTCAAATTGCTTCCATCCTACACAGGGGAACGAGAAACTCTACAGCCTAGAAGAATACTCAGAAGTGATTTTGATGAGAACCAGGTCCCATCTCTCTCTCTTCACAGCCCATAGGTCTTCTGTGAAGACTGGTATCAAATTCCTACACGTTTGTGGCTCTTTCTGAACAAGGCTGAAGCAACCACAAAAGGACAAACACTGAAATGGGATGAAGTAGAAATTAACTAATGGTCCAGCTAATAGAATGCCAGGTATTTCTTGAATAATCCTAGGTAGATGTGGCAACCCTGAAATATTTGTAATTTCAATGACAACCGATGAGAAAATATCAGCAGTGCACTTTAGATTGTACTCTTGTACGCATATACATCACTGAATAATATAGATGCTTACATATTTTCTGTGTCTCCCTGTAAAGCTTGATGGGGAGAAATAAAACATAAACAAGTCAGACAGCAAGCTCTGCTCTGCTCTTGATTAGCAAACATACCTATCACTTCAACACAATAGGGGAACAGAGCTTGTTGGCTGTTCGGTGGCATTACAAAGTACATCAGCTGCCCTTGAACAGGAACAGTCACGCTTAAAACTGCTGCATTAAAGCTGTAAAACATCTTCCACAGACCAACAGAAAAAAAAAAGGAGGGGAAAAAGGAAAAAAGAAATCAGTATTTTTCTTATTTTGCTGATGTACAAAGTAATGAAGCACTGTGCAGTGTGGTATTCCTTTTCAGCCATGTGGAACTGCCTCTTGAATGCAAGGGAAATTAATAACCTGTAATTGGAGTGGCACACAGCCTGGAAGTAACTAGCCATGGGTCTCCCAGCCTCAAGTACATGACCCAGAGGGCTATCTAGCAAAGTAAAATTCAGAGCTTTTCTGACGAGACAGTCAATCTACATGTTTTAAGTAGATTATGAAGCACAAGAGCTTTGAATAATCAATTCCTTTTCAACATAAGCTTGTGTGAGTTTCCAACTCTGTCTCTAGAAGTTGGGCGAACGAGGCTCTAGAGAGATTTTACTCTATCGTTAGAGAAGTCTAAAGATAAGTTTCTTGTAAAAATTACAATTTTGCTAGCAGAGAGAGATATCCTATTAGGTAATGTGGAAGCACATCTCTATTAGGGAGAGAAATGAAGGTAGAGGAGTAAAATTCACCCCACAGAAGCAATTCTGCAGAGCAGCTGAGCTACAGTGGTACCTGATGCTGCGAGACTGTACGTAGCTGTGGACTGAGGTGACGGGGAACCTCAGAGATGGCAGAATTGAGCCACAACTAGCTCCATACAGGAGTGGCATCCATTCATGCATACGTTCCTGCTTGATGTCAACCCCGCAGCCTATATCCCCTTTATCCCACAGACTGTTTGGACTATTTTACATGTCTAGATTATACAGCTGAATTAGTAGATGTGGACCTAAGAAGCGATCTAGTCCTTTCAAGGATAAGATCAAACAGGGAACAGAAGCTCAAAAGTGTAGGTATTCGTGTGCTGTGTGGACACCTAGAGATCTTTGGCCACCAGGACTACCAGGCAGTGCCTCTAGGAGGTCCACTTAAAAAATAATTTTACTTCCCAGAGCTTCAAAGTTTTTCACAACTAAGAGGTTCTTCTCATGAATCTCACAGGAATGCAAGCCATTAGCTCTTACCCAACCCACAGATTTGCAGGGCTAATAGAGGACAGTAACAGGCAATCAACTGACAAAATCATACCGAGTGCTCAAGACAAAGGCAACAGCACGTTAAAGGCAGAATCTGAACAGCAAAAACACTGAGATTACAAGGCACTACTCTCCAATGCTCCAATGCAGTCACTGCTCCAAGCTATACAATTATCATATTTAAATTGATTCCTCCTCCATATATCTCCCTTTAAAACAGACTTTTTAAGGGTATTGACTCACTCCTCCAAACCCATAAATCCTTGATTCTAAGTACAGCACTAATGTGCTGGCAGACATAAAATCTGTCAGCTTTGTGCTGCAAAAAGTTTAAGGTCCTTTTGACAACATTGTCCATTTACCCTTTATCTTTCTCTTGGAGATTTTTTTTTTTTTTTAAGTTAGGCATGAAGATTTTCGCTGCTAATTCAGATGCCTGAGGCTTGATCCCAGTACTTGACAGTTAACATCTTGCCCTAAGTATAAGCTACTGCCAAGGGCTACTTCGTCCTGTCAACTCTAAATTTAGCCAAGTGTGAGATTTGGATATCTCATTGCACTATAAGCTCCGGATCATTCACAACGGGTCACTTCAGCTGAGGCTTTTGGATAAAGACTGATTCCTTGTTCACCTTATGGCCCTCAGAGACCGCCTCAATTTGCTCCTCATGTGTGAGAGGGAGCTAAAAGTGATGGTTTGTGATAGCGTTTGACCAATAGCTCGGTTTAATCCTGCCGAAAGAGCAGATTTGTGACAAGCGGATTCTTATTTCCAGAGCCGGTTTTGTCCGTAGCAAACAGAATCCCACGGACCTCCCACGCAAAGAAACGGGGAGAAAAAGAGCGGGTTTGGCCCAGGCGCCGCCGGGGGCCTCAGGCGGGCGCGGGGCGCCGCGCGCGTTGCTTGTTCTCTAGCGCCAGCTGCGCCGTTTGCTGCTTCCCGAGGGCAGGAGGGGAAGAAAGAGGCAAAAATGACCGTATTGATGTGGCGCTGGCCAAGCACCGCGCCGCTTCTTTAGTAATTTCACCCAATTAAGTATTTATGCAGAATTGCTCCTACGGTCTCCACTCGCACACTTTTTTTTTGCATAAACACTGCTGTTGAACGA